TTTTAAAACAAGGAACTGCCAAGTATGTCATCTACAGTAGAAAAATCAAGAAGATGAGGATGAAAAATGGAGACTTCCAGAGATGACCCAACTGACAGTGGGGCCAGAACCTTGAATACAGGTACTGGAGACTTCAGGGGAGATGAGGAAGTAGAGGCAGCGGATCTTGACTGCCATGGGAAGGAGGAACGGTAGCCGTAGAAAGATGATAGGGAGAGAGAAGCCTTTGGAACATAGCTGCCGTCATTTTGTGAAAATGGCAGTGCTAATTGCAAAGGAGAGGATTTAAGATTGAGAATATGCGGAGCAAGGAGGAAATAAGGACAAGGTGGGAAGATGTTCGTAGGACAACACAATCTTGAGGGCTGTGCGGTGGGGTCTTCACTTGGTAAAACAAAAAGCAGGGACGGTGGCCTAGAAGGAAAGGAGCATCGGCATCAAGAGATTAAAATATGGTGAACCAGCCTGGAAGTATAAAGAAGGGATCTCACGGCTTGAGAAATCAGCTCAGTGAATGTCCCTGAATCATCCCATTTCAGAGATGTGTAGTTGGATGGCAAGATATAGGCTTTGCAGGCAGCAGGGTGTGTATAAATAAGATGTTGGGGTCATGAGCTTCAGGCTTATTTTTCATTGTGTAGTCATATGGATGTTGAGATCTGTTGTGTTAGGATTAGAATAGGGTGAAGGAGAGACAGGGAAGCCACAGAGGTAGATTGCTCGGTGAATGGGGTATTGGGTGCAGCTTAAAAGCTGGTGGGTGAGCTGTGGAAGGTCAAATGCACAGGCCTGAAGTCTCAGAAGGGTGATGTCAGTGGGCTCAGGGCTCAGAGTCTGGGGAGAGCTAAGAGAAAATGGCTCTTTTTGTCACTTTCTCCATGGTAAGCAGGATGGCAGAGGATTCTTGTTTTAACAAAGTTTTATTCAGGAGTATTTATTAGGATTTTGTTTGTTATAATGAAACATCAATTAATATAAGTCAATAAACTTCAGTGACCTCCCCCCTTCTATACCAACCTACTGTTTTAATGTAACACACCATTGGAAAAACCTTAGCCTGTCCACTCTAGCAGTGCTTACAGCTGGCTCCAGCCCCTTACTTCCTTCTGTCAGCTCCTTTAGCTATTTGTGCCCATTCTCACACATTTTTGATATTTAATCACAGATGGCTATTGATAGCTCCTGAACAGCCACTTATGACTTTTAATTTGCTCTGTACCTTTCAATTTAATCCCATTGAAAGTATGAACAGAGCATATGTCTTAATCAGCTCTCTTGGGGCTCCTCCAAGGGTCTTTTATATCCATAGCTGTTAAGAGTAACTGTTTCCAATGAATATGGCTCTAGAGAAGCTGCCACATATCAGGCCCCAGAAAGACTTCTCTGCAGAGTTCTGGAAAATAATGCTGAGAAAACTAGCTTTCCACATGCTGAAGACTAAAAGTACACTCATGTCTATCACCAGGCATTAAATTAAATCAAAATAGATCAAAGAAGATCTAAATATTAAGACTGAAATACTAGATCTGCTGAAAGAGAGAGTAGCTAGAACTCTTGAAGACATAGGTATAGGCAAAGGTTTCATGAAAAAAAAAACACCCATTGCATAGGAAATAATATAAAGAATCAACCACTGAGAGCTCATCCTATTGAAAAACTTTTACAGAGCAGAAGAAATCACCAAGACAGTGCAAAGACAATCCACTGATCAGGAAAATAGTTTAGCTAGTTGTCCCTCAGACAAAGGACTGATATTTAGAACATATAAATAATTAAAAAGCCCACCCAACTTAAAGACCCAACCCAGAAGTGGGTATCTGAGATGAATACACATTTCTCAGGTGAAAAAATATGAATGACAAATAAGTACATAAAAATATGTTCCACATCACTGGTTATTTGAGAGACGCACATTAAAACAATGCTGAGATTCCATCTCCAGAAAGCTTGGTTATCACCAAGAAATCAACCAATAACAAATGCTGGAAGAGCTGCAGAGAAAAAGGAACACTTCTTGACTCTGGCAGGGGTCAAACTGGTGCAACCACATTGGAAATCAGTGTGGAGTTTCCTCAGAAAGCTAGTATTAGAGATCCCACTTTGACCTGGCTGTTCTCTTTCTGGGTATCTTCCTAGGATTAAAAACACCATACCACATTGATATATGTAGGCCCATATTTATAGCAGCACAATTTATAATTAGAAACAACCCAAATGTGCATCAACTGAGAAATGGATGAAAACGATATGGAGGGTTTTTTCTATAAAGAAGTACGGCTCAGCCATCAAGAAGGATAAATTTGAGATATTTCTAGTAAATGGATGTACCTTGGCACCATACTCTTAAGTGAAACCAATTGGACACACATGTACAAATACTGTGCTGTCTTCGTGGCGTGAGAAACTGAAAAGAGTAAATAAAGACTCAAATGTATATTAGACATTGTGAAATGGGAAAAAATAGTGCAAAAAGGAAGGGGAACTAGGGAGGGGGAAGAGGGAAGGAAGGAAGGGAAAGGGGAAAATGATGAAAGAAGGATAAAATAGAAACAACGCTTCACAAATAATGGACAGAGGGGTTGAAAGGAGGGCAGGGAGTTGGGGAAGAAAGAGGATGCAAGATGCATCATGTGCAGGTAAAAACTCCCTATGATGACTCTGGTCATTATACATATGTAAATTGTACCAATAAACTTAATAAAAAGGAATGGTCTGTGTATACTCAGTATAGATGCAGGGTTTTTTTTCCCCTAAAATGTCTGATCAATGGTTAGTTGAATCAGAGGATGAGAATCTGTGGGCATAGGGATACAGTTGTATGCACACATCTCTCTGTATGAGCAACTATATGATTTGAAATCTATTAAAAGAAAAATGCGTGGAATTGTGGTCATGTATTCACTGTGGTAGTAGGAAATTAAAATTAAACATAACATGGTAGGAACTTAAGGTACAAGTCAGCCATGGGGGCAGTTAAGTCTTATTGATGCTGTGGATTTACCACTGTTGTTATTTGGCTTCTGAATCTCTAACTTGGACTAAATCACTTACTGCCAGCACAAAGCTTGGTGGCACTAAAATACAAGATACATGCTTAAATACCATTTCTCATCAAATACACCATGATATTCTATGTATTTTCCTCATTTTGGGTTCAGATATTGGTTCTCCACATACTAACTGCATGACCTTAAACAATTAATCTTTCTGTGTCTTAGCTTTTCTGGTAAACTGGGACCACCATTGCAGGGGGTAGTTTTAAGAAATAAGGAAGCATACTAACATCACTAGAGAGCTAGTGGTCCTATTAGTTTTGATAACAATAGCACATTAGAATCCTTCTCACTGCAAGGCATAACTTATCTAGAAGTTTGTTTTCTTTTCTTTTTTTCTTTGCCTTTCTTTCTTTCTTTCTTTCTTTCTTTCTTTCTTTCTTTCTTTCTTTCTTTCTTTCATTTATTCATTCTTTCATTTGTTCATTCTTTCTTTTATTCTTTCTTTTGTATTTTGGGCAGGGTCTCACTACACAGCTCTGACTCATAGTGATCCTCCTGTTTTCAGCCTCCCTAGTGCTGGCATTACAGGTGTGTGCCACCATGCTTCCATGCTTGGACTCAGTTGCTGGCTCGGCATGTCCAGGGGCAATGGCAGCATGGCATGTGGTGCCGGAGATCAAACCCGGGCCCCTGCGCTTACCTAAGCAGGTGCCTAGTCTCCTGAGCTATCTTGCTGGCCCTGGAAGTTCATTTTCTTCGTGTGTTTTTATCTCATTATGCAAATGTGCCTACTGTGTACAGGCCTATCTCATGCCTGAACGTATAAGTACTCTGAGTAGATGCTATTCCATACGTTAGATCTAACTAGACTTTCAGAAACCTCAGTCCTTACTTGATTCTTGAGTGAGACTTAGAATCTAATTAAACAATCTAGGTGCCACGGTTAGTTTTGAGAGTACTATCAAAACAAGCACATGAATTAAAGTAGTCATGGGGAGATAGCTCAGTGGCATAAGCACCTGCCTGGCAAGTGCAAGGTCCAGAGTTTGATCCCCAATACCAAAAAAAAAAGATTCAGAATTAAAGTAGTCATTTTCTTAGAGGTATCCAGAAAGATTATAATAATATATAGTGCAAAGATATATCACTTAGAGACATTGGGAACTTATCTGGGGTCCATATGGCTGGTGGAGTTAGTCTTAGGGACCTAAAATAAAGACGCATTGTGATTTTGCTCACTATGACTTTTGCTTAACAATTGCCTCTATGTGTTTTCCATCTCCCTCTAGCATATAGATCTGGGAGCTTAAGAATGTAACACTGAAGCTAAACTACCTGTGTTTTATACAAATGAAAAATGACTTTCTTAATCTCAGAAGTTTTCAAGATACTCGGCTAAAACATAAACAACTTCTCAGAATAGTTCTTCCTAAAGTGTTAAACCAGCAACATCAATGTCACCTAGAAACTTGCTGGCAATGCGGATCCTCGATCTGCCACCCAGTCCCACTGAATCAGAAGCACTCACCCCCACATTCCTTGTTGATCTTACTATACACCTAAATGTGTGAGCCATAGGGTCAACCAGATAGCTCAGTGGACTACAGCACCTACTTTGGCAAGCTCAGGTACCTGGGTTTGGGCATTGTAGCACATGCCTGTAATCCCAGCGCTGAGGAGGCTAAAAACAGGAGGATCGACAGGAGTCTGAGCTGTGTTGTAAGACCCTTTACCAAATAAATAAATGAAAAAACAAAATAACCTGTAAGCCACTGTCTTAGAGTAGTAAATGAATTTTAGGAGAGGCTGTGCTTTGTGCCAAAAACAACTTTTTGGTCCTTGACAGGTAAGAAGTTGTGTTAATTCTGAGTTGCTTCATTTCATTTGATGTTACTAAAAATCACATAAATAAAACTAAATGTGTTCAGTGCATTTTATTGCTATGAAAATGTTCTTTACTAACTGTTCTCTCTTTTCTTCTTTCTTTGTATTTCTGCATGGTAGACGGGTTGGATTTTATGTTAACACTTTCAAAAATGTTTCCAGTCTAGAGGCCAAGTTTCATAAGGAAATTGCAGTGGTGAGTAATGCTGATTTCTTTTCCATATGAAATACAAAGGAAGATTTATTTCAGAGGCAAATTAATTGGCTCGGCATTATCCCAGGTATTCCTCCTTTAGCATGTCTTATAATAGTGGTGCACTTACTCTGTGTAATATTTGTAAAGCTTCTTCTAGTGACTTCATAGTTTCTATGTATTTTGGAGATTTTGCCACAGTCCCCAAGAAAGGAAACCTTGTTTTTCTTTTCACTCTTTTTGTGAAGTCAGGATTCCAAGTAGTTTCTCAGACCAATGCAAAAGTAGTTTCAAAATATTCAGAAAATCAGCAGCTGTATTGTAGACTGATGTTTTCTAGTTCAATAGATTAGTTGTGGTACTGTTTCTAATGGAGTAGAAAAGCAGCAGGCTTTTGTTTTGTGTTGTGTACTCTAGTGAATAAATATATATTGATTATTTTAAAAAGATTTTTGTGTTTAGTTTGTTTTGGTTTTGATGTGGATTTTACATTTGGATCGTAAAAAGAATTTCAAGTATCTTAAGACCACCATAATTCTCTTAAGAGTCTCAGTTTCTCAATAAACAGCTTCTCTTTTGGGGAACATACACTGTACCGGCACCAAGATGACTAACAGCTAATAGACAAGTGGTCTCTGTCCCTTTAGCTTTGCCACAAGCTGTATGAAGTGATGACAAAACTGGGTGACCAGCACGCCGACAAGGCCTTCACCATCCAAGGCGCCCCCAGGTAAGCCAGTGCTCTTGGAGCAGGCTTCACTTCATCCACCTTTAACACGGTGGTGGTTGAAATTTCTGCATTCTGTGGGTAAGTCGCAGCTACATTAACTTGATGTTTCTTCATCAGTAAAAGTCTAAAAGGAGCCTCTCTATCAAACAACTGATGCCAACCTTAGCTCAGTGGTTTCACATTTACTTCTGGCTTTCAGATGTCCCACAAGTGTTCTTGTGGCCACAACAGAATCATAGTCTCTGCCTCTATCTATCTGTTTCTGTCTCTGTCTCTGTCTCTGTCTCTGTCTCTGTCTCTGTTTCTGTCTGTCTCTATCTTTCTCTATCTCTCTGTCTCTGCCTCTCTCTGTCTTTCTGTCTCTGTCTCTGTCTCTCTTTCTGCTTTACATGGATCCTGACAGCAATACTAATATATAATTTCTATATCCACACGTTACTTTCTCTAACAAAGAAAAAATAATTCCCCAAAACTAATAAAGACAGTCAGTACTGGTTTTTATCTCAGCTACTGATGTTTGTAACAAATCCATATGGGGAAAGTAGAGAAGTAGGTGAGGCCCTTCCAGCATCTTCAGTGGCTTGCCCCTGCTTTGTTATCGATTCATTGCATGTGGCTGCTGTGAACATGGAGCCGTGTGACCCTCAGGCGAACTGTCTGTCCTGCCAGGGTTTGGTTCCATGCCAATTTTATTCCATGATTTTAGCATTGCTTTCATTCCATCCTCTCAGGCCCTGCGTGCTCAAGGAATGTAGGTTAGCCGATCTGGAGGCTGGAGAAGATCCAGCTTTCAGCCGGCTGCAGTTAACATGATTTATTTTCCTTGAATAAGTCCAATTTAACCTCTCTGGCTAAATATCTCATTATTTTCAAATCAATAAAAAAGTAATATACTATTCAGCTAAATGGATTTTAAGGTAATACAGAGTTCTGGCTTCCTATGTTTGTGATTTTAATATCAGTGCACACAAAAAGCACACAGTCTTATACATGCCCTAGCATTCACTTGCATTAGTGTCTGGATGCCTCTGGAAAATGCTGGCTTCCTTATTCTAAGACTTACAATCTCTGCTATGCTTATTCCACTAAGAGGGCAGTAAAGATATCTTTTCCCTATAAAAGTAAGAGCATTATATAAAAACATAGGAAGCCAAGCTGATGTGTCAATTTAGTTATTTCATTGTTGGGCTAAGCACAAAAGAAGAGTTAGAGTAGGAACATCAAAGTGACTTTAGGATGTTTCAAAACTGAAGTACGATAAAAATTAAGGGTTGTCCCCTTAGGTGGTAATGCAAAGGACAGATGCGCTTAACCGTTCCAGTGTTGTTGAATCAGATGAAGTGAGGAAAATTCAAGTTATGACTACTTAACCATTGTCCCTTTAATTTTTTCCAATGTCCTCTGCAGAACGAGGTGGTGAGTAATTTGGAGAGCTCTCTACAGAGCATAGATTGGGGCTGTTTTCAATCATGGGCCACGAGTGCTGGCGCATAGCCCCAATCTTGTGGCCTGTGCATTCCCTGAAGGACCCAGTTCCCTTGGTGCTTGGATATGTAGACATACTGCTGTGCATCTGCTTTTTTATTTTAGGCTATAGATTCTGTTCTTTCTAGCTGTAAACTTTAGACATTCTTAGAAAGTAAGATGTGTCTCAAGTACTGTCTTAGTCATTGAGCTTAGCTGTCCCCCATCCTCTGGCCTGGTGCCAAGAACATTGTGGATCCTCAGTAAACATCACTGAATCTCATCAGTGGAAGAATGTATTTTCACTGTTCAAGGTGTCTAAGTTGAGTCATTGTTTTGTACAGTGTAAAAAGTAATAACTAATATATTTAACTCTAAATGATATCAGCAAGCACATTTCTACAAAAGCTTTGTTCATAAATGCTTAATATGCCTTGGAATATAAAAAATATAGTTTTCTGAGTAGAATTTTCCGTAACATATGACCTACTGAGTTTCTCTTGTTGATCAAATGTGAAACCACTTAAATTAATTCAGCTTAGGCTGGGAAGATTCTTTAGTGCTTGCTTGGTATAATGGATAGACGAGAAGTATGTATAACTAAGACCTAAATTCGGATCCATTCAATCAGTGGTCCCAACCGTTATTGTTATTGTTTTTGTTATTATTACTATTATTATTGGCTCCAGGGACTGGTTTCCCAGAAGACACCTTATCCGTGGATGAGGGGATGGGTTGGGGTAGAGAAAGAGATGGTTTGGGGATGATTATTTATCGTACATTCAAACCTCTTTGCTGATTTTCATTTGTATCTGCAACTGCCCCCCAAAGCTAGCAGCACCACCTCAGCTCCACCCCAAATTGTCAGGCATTGGATTCTCAAAAGGGTCTTGCTACCTAGACCCCCACCTGCACAGTTTGCAGGAGGTTCTAGTTCCTATGAGAATGAAACGCTCCACTGGTCTGACAGGAGATGGAGCTCAGGTGGTGAGGAGCCACTGCAAATACGAATGAATCTTTTCCAGCTTGTTTGCCAGTCCTGCTGGGCATCCTAGGCTATTCATGAGCAGTGAACCTCTACTGATCAGTGACCCAGGCCTGGGAAACCCTACCCTAAGTCACTGAGGGATGCTAGGGTTTTTGTTTTAAACATGGCTTTGTTCCACTCTTCTTCCCTGTAAGTGGGGACAATGATGCATAACTACTGTAAAGACAGATAATAAAGGACCAGGATCTGGCTCACAGACTATAGGAAGTAGCACCATTGATCAGCATCACTGTGACTCACAACCAAACTAAGCTGGAAGCAGATAGTTGGGTAACAGACAGTACCTATTAAGCATTAAAATTTCTGTGTCATGGAGCATCCCAGATCAAATGAATCCCATTTCTCAGAAGGTCTCTTGCTTAATTCATGTTCATGTAGTGACTCAGGACCTCTACGCATTGCAAAGACCCCGTCGCCTCCTGAAGAGCCTTCGCCACTGCCCAGCCCAACAGCCAGTCCCAATCACACGCTAGCACCTGCATCTCCAGCCCCGGCACGGCCCAGGTCACCTTCACAGGTAAGGGGAGAGCACAGGTATTGGGGAGTAAAGGAACTCATTGTGCTAACCATTAAGACCTCTATCTCTTTTTATTGTTTAACTTTAATATTTCTGATGGAGCTCAGTGTTTGAATCTCTTGAAATTTAACACTTCAGTTTCTTTAATTTAGCTTGCCTACCTCCTCTCCTATTTCCTGTCCTCAAAATCCTCTTTCAGGAGTGGAAGTATAGCTCAGTGGAAGAGTCGTTGCTTAGGATATATGAACCCAGGCTTAAATTCATACTGCTCAGTCTTTAAAGATTCCATGAAACCCTTTCCCTAGCACTTTTGACTATACTTAGTGCAGAACGACCAATGAATGCTTAATGTGCCATTTCATGTTAGTAGTTCCTTGAGAAAGTTATATAAATCAAACGATTGAAAATGAGACAGTGAAGGCCAGGCAAAAATGATAAAGAGAAAAACTTCCTATCCTTATTTTTCCTACTTTGAATGAAATTAAGTTCCTATGGGAACATTTGAAGTTCCTAATCCAGTGAAAGTGTTGGTGAAGACAATAAGCTAAGGAGAGACATGTGTGCTAGACAGACCTGTTTTATCTCAGAATTCTGAGTGGGAAGTGAGATGGAAGTTGTTGATGTTGATTTCAAAGATTCAAAACAAAAGTTTGCTGATTTTAGTTTTAAAATTCTATTCTATTGCTGAAAGGAGAAAGCCTAAGGTGTAATTTAGCGAAGATATGGCTTTAGCATAACCTTAAAGGGCCTACAGCCCTGCCTGTGCTTGTATTGTGATAAATAGATTATTTATTAGTCTAGAATCTGCCATTTTATAGGTTATTTGTTATTTTCCAATCACTGAGACAAAGTACCTGCCATCCACTACCTAAGAGAGGTTCATTTCGGCTGGTAGTTTTCAGGGGTGCAGTTCATGTTTGGCTGACTCCAAGGTAGAAATGACACAGTGGAAGGGAATGGTGGAGAAATGTATGCTCATCTCAGAGCACCAAGATGGCAGAAGGAGAAGGGAGGGTCAACGGCAAGATATCCCTTCCGGGTCACACCTCTTGTGACCTCTGACCAGACCCCACCTTCTAACAGCACACCTAGCCCTGAACCCACTGATGTCTGTACATCTGTCATGATCCAATCAGCAGTCACCTTCCAAAATCCACCTCTGAACACAGGAAACTTTAGGAGGACACCCTAGATCTAAAGCATAGCATGTAGCCTGAGGTCTTCCTGTGAAACTATAGTTTGTTGGTGGTCAGGGAGCCACTCACCTAGACAACATTCTTGAGCTCCTCCAGTAGGGGCATTTCTGTACAAAGATAAAAGTTTCAGCGTTCCATTTGTCTACCTAGTTTTCTTGATGTGACTTTTCTTTATGGCTTACCTGCTCTTGAATGTTTATATTTGGTGCTTCCTAGACAAGGAAAGGGCCACCTGTCCCACCTCTGCCAAAAGTCACCCCAACAAAGGACCTGCAGCAGGAGAATATCATCAATTTCTTTGAGGACAACTTTGTTCCAGAAATCAGTGTGACAACACCTTCCCAGGTGAGTGTCCGGCATAGGAACAGGATACTTATGAGAAAATCATGGTGGCCTACGGTCCTAGCCCTCAGGGAAGCTGAGCTGGGAGGATTGCAAGTTTGAGCCTAGCCTGAAGTAATTTAGCAATTTAGTGAGACCATGTTTCAAATTAAAAAAGGGTCTGGAGCTAGGTCTGTGCAAAGGTCCTGGGTTCAATTTCTAGTACCAAAGAAAGACAGAGTGAATGAATGAATGAATGAATGAAAGAGAAAAGAAAAGAAAAGGAGAGGAAAGAAAGGAAAGAGAAAAGAAAGTACTATGGTAGAGAGACATTTTGGGGTTAACTCTAGAGAATGTGGCAGATTTTAGAGCCAGAAATATAATCTTAATTGTCACTCAGTCTTGTTTTAATTACTTTGTAGTTCTAAAGCATTCTTAAGTAGGATGTATATAGAATTTAAATACTCTTATTTTTATTAAGAGCAGTGCATAATATGCATAGAAAGTTGAAAATACCTTGAAAAGCATAAAATAAAATAATAAGCAATAAGTAAATAAATGTTGGTTTATTTTGTTTTAAACTTTTTCTCTAAGTACACATCTATTCTGTAGCAAAGAATTTAGAATGTGTTGTCATATAATTGTGAATTTCTACTGGAGTTCCAGCAAGCATTTTTACTTGTCAAGATAATGTCTCTGTGAAACGATACTTGCTCGTGGTATTCTATTAACTGCATGTGCACACCCCTGATGGCTGCCACATGTTACTTCCAATTGCCTTGTTCCTTTTGAGGAATGTTGGTGAATCCCTCTATATGTTAATTCCTGTTTGTTCCTTCCATTATTTCTTTTATATTGGCCCAGTAGCAAAGCTCTACCATTTATATGACTGGCAAAGTGGGAATGCCTGAGCACCTTCTGCTTTTGAAGACACCTGGGCCACCTTTTCTGGCGGCAGTCACCTGCACATCCATCCATGCAGCAGGCTGCTTTGTCTCCTAGGCTCCAGAATAGTTGTGGCTGCTAGAACCTCTCCTAATGCTACTGAAGCTATCTTTGTTTTGAGCGCTAGTCCCCAGAGAAGCCCCACCCATATCATTGCCTCTGGGGATCGAAGTAATAGTTGCATTTTTCAGGAGGTGCTAAGACAATATAGCAGTTACTGTGTGCGTGAGTAGTGTTGAATGTCCTGCTTGTAGTCACAACCCATTGATAACAGCACAGGTAGTGAAGCGAAAACAATAATAAACCCAGACAATCAAAACTCAGCAGTGCAGTGGTGGATCATAATTCTTCATCGCTTTCAAGGATATTTATCATTAGACGTGGGGCTTTGGGCCATTATCTTCTGTTGTTTGTACAGGATGCTCAATTTGAGAAGTCCACTAAGTTGTGAAGTGTGCATTAGCAGTTTCTTTGAGAAGGGAATTGTATGTTTATCAGTACAGATGCAAATTATATGACTAGGGACATAAAGATGCTACCATGGAGGGTTGTATTAGAGCCAAAGATCTTACCCAAAACTAGCAGGCTGCCCTGCCACTGAACTTTCACATCTTTAATTTCCAAGTTGTACAGTCCTTTGTAGTTGCTACCAATTTCATTCTCTCTCTCTCTCTCTCTCTCTCTCTCTCTCTCTCTCTCTCTCTGTCTCTCTGTCTCTGTCTGTCTGTCTGTCTCTCGCTACATGAATTTATACACTGACTGTACTTTACAGTCATAATGCCCTTTGCTTGGTTGCTTTACATGGGTCCTCCACGAGCACCCTCTCAGTTCCATCACAACTGAAGACTTTGGCTTTCTCAAGTGCTGGGTACTTAGCTGAGGGTCTCCTTCTTTAGGCAACAGGGCAGCCCAAGTGGCTAGAATGTGATAAACAGACTATTTCTGGAGTGAAGATGAGGTTCACGAGCATTCTTTCTTGTTAAATATTTTTTATTTGAAATTGCTGGCTCCCAGATAAGGACCCTTTATGTTGGGAGAAGTGGGAATCAAAGCACTTCAGAAAATTACAAACTCAGGAGAGTACCCTAAGGCCTGCTGGCAGCATTAACCTTCACTTGTGTTGCTGTGTACAGGCAATGGGGAGTTTAGATCAGGGTGGGGGAGCCAGAAAAGGGAACCTTTGAGAAGTTCAGCACCAGTTCTTACCTGGGCTTTACTGGTGATTTGGGTAGGACCCCAAAGTGCTTCTTTACCTGTGCCTTTCACAGTTGGCTGCTGTAGGCCATGTCTGTAAGCCTGCAGCTGACTTTGAAAAATCGACTCACCATAGACTCTGTGCATGTCATAGGAGGCTCCACTTCATTTGTGTTCTTTTCTTTCAATCTGGTAATGCTGTAGAACATTCATTGTTATTTTTCTGAATTTGAGAACCATCCTCATTTCAGCAGCTGGACCACAGAGTATTATGTGAAGTGTCTCTGTCCACTAAGTGGTCTCATCTTGTGTCCATACTTGCAAGAACCAGGAGAGTATGTGTGTGTGTGTGTGTGTGTGTGTGTGTGTGTGTGTGTGTGGATCATGACTCATATTTACTAATTTATTTTTCTGTCCATTAAGTCAGATAATCTAGCTTTACTTAAACGTATAAAAATCAGTGGCTTGTTCCCTTGTAGCGATAAGTAGCTATCGTGTATGACTAGCCAGAAGAGCTCCTGATCTGCAGGTGGGATGTGGGATCAAGAATCTGCACCTCTGTCTAGTGAGCTCCTGGGTGGGGCTGAAGGTGCCAGTCCCCGCTGTGCAAGTCACTGTTTTAGGATGTCATGACTGTGCATGGTACAAGTCCATGACCATCATAAAGTTCCACTGCAAATTTACATGTTTGTTTCAGGGAAATTGACAGCTGATCCAAGTATATGTTAAGATTGATGAGTACAACTGTCTCATTTAAAAATAGGGTGACATGGGGCCGGTGAGGTAGCTCAGTGGACTAAAGTGCCTGGGACCGTGGTTCAATCCCCTGCACCATACACTGCACCAGCCTCACCCCCAGGGTAGGCTGAGTTGGCCACAGAGTCCAGGCATAGTGGTGCACGCCTGTAATCCAAGTGCTGGGGGTGCTGAAAGCAGGCGGATCACTATAAATCTGTGTAGTGAGACCCTGCAACAACCAAGTATGTTAAAAAAGTAATAATAAATAAAAATAGGATGACTTAAAATGCTCTGCAGTTAGTATAGCTAGAAACCACACATTCATATAAGTATGCTTCTTAGATATGTTGATTGGATTGCAAGAAAACATTGTTTATTATAAATGAAAGGGTTTTATCATCTTGGTCATAATGTCTGGTCGTGCATAAAGGAAATAAATACCAATGCTTGGAGAAAATGAGATTCTAACTTCAAAGGAAATCTTGAAAACTAGAAAGCTGAGAAGTAGCTGGAAAGATTCTCTGATATGTTAATATAAAATGACCTATTTAAATTTTATTTTTATAAAAAGATTGAAGAGGTCTAATGCCTTACTAGTATCCCTAACCAAAAGCACCTCATGAAACAGCACAGACAATTATTGTTGGTAATATTAACCCATTAGATAAATTTTCCCACTGCCATTTACACATGCCTTGGTTACTTTTCTCATTGTTGAAACAAGATATTCAACACTAAAAGCTGAAGGGGGAAAGGTGTACTTAGCTCACAGTTTGTAGAGGTTTCAGTCCATAATTGGCTGCCACTAAGGCAGGGTGGGGTGGCAGAGGGACATGGAAGAGGAGAAAGCAATCCCTGGTAAACAAGCAGGACAGAGTAAAGCAGCAAGCAAGTGAGGCTGCCTTTATGTTCCATCCAGCCTACCTGCCCTGTGGGCAGTGCCACCCACACCCAGGGTGAGGCACCCTCAATCACAACAATCACATCCTAGATCCAGCCACCCCTGAATAGCCCCACTTAGGAATGCATGTGGCCACTGGGGGACATCTAGATACAAGCTATGACAGAAGGAGATTCCTTGCATCTAGGTGGCATTAGGTCACCTCTCAAAGGCATTCTTACGAAGGATAGGAACCTGTGACCTCTTTCAGGGATACTTTGGTTATATTTGGCCAGAGTTGGTTATATTTTCTCTCCCTGAATTTAGCTGAACTCTGGAAGTATGTGAATGAGTGGCTTAAGTGGTAAACTATCAGAGCACTGTGGAGGGTATTGAATACAATTAGTAGAGGGCCTTTACATGGGTATACCATGCAGTCTTTTCACATTCAAGCCAATGCAGATTTTGCTTTGTTTTAACAGAATGAAGTCATTGAAGTGAAGAAGGAGGAGACTCTGCTGGATCTGGACTTTGATCCTTTCAAGCCTGAAGTGACCCCAACAGTGACCCACTCACCCATGTCTCAGGTATCAAATCACTTTTGGAGTTAGTGGATAGTATTTTAGAAACCTTAATAAGCTCAGGGGATAATTGAGGACCTCGATGCCTTTCCAATGACTATTACCTACTTTTCTTTTTGGCTGATAATTATTTCCTAATGGGAAGGAGGGGTAGAAAAAAACTTTTTTTTTTTTTTTTTTTTTTTTTTTCAGAACCAGGGGATTGAACTCAGGCCCTTGCACTTGCCAGGGAAGCACTTATTCTACTGAGCCATCTCCCCAGCCCCAAAAGAACCTTTTGAATGTCAACTACTAGAAACTTCCCCAGTTTATTAGCTTTCTCTTCCCACAAAACTGACTTTACCATAGTTCCTTGTCGGTCCAGAAACTATCTCTTGCAGGGTAATTGTCACTGTCACCCTTTGCTTGCAAAGGTGTCCAGGCCCACATGATAGGTGTTATGTCTTCTTATTATGGCCTTTTCTTTTGGCTTTTAGTTCATTCTTCTTCCGTGGTCTCTGATTTTCTCCCCCATACTTGGTAAATTAAGGGATCTTTGAAGTAATCAGAAGAGTCTGTCCCAGTAATTTCTACAACTCTCTTGTTCTGAACTCAGAGTAGTGTGCTTCTGTTGGTGTGTGTGTGTGTGTGTGTGTGTGTGTGTGTGTGTGTGTGATCAAGCTGGTCTTGCTCATGTGTCCATTTCTTGCTCACTCTCAGCATTTCTCCCATTCCAGTAGTGCTTGCTACAAGATTTCTGGCAGGGAGAAGCTTAGTATAGGTGCTCTCATGACCGATAAGTGAATCCTCTAGTATATACTTAATTTATACTTTCCTATGCTAATGTAAGGAAATTAACTCAAATTTTGACAAACCACAAATAGCTTTTATTAGTATTTTTGAGCTGATGTAGGGCCTTCTGTTTGAGTTTGGGCAAATCTAACAATACTAGAGTACACTGAACTTAATTAATGTAAGTGTATTGTAAGCCACTCGTGGTGGTGTATGCCTGTAATCCCAGCACTGTGGAGGCTGAGGTAAGAGGACTGCCACAAGTTGAAGGCCAACCTGGGCACCATAGTATGTTAAAGACCAACCTGAACTACAGAGTGAGACCTGATCTCAAACTTAAAAAAAAAATATTGTAGAGCTCAATTAATGAATTGAGACCTAGCTCAATTTCTTGGTCTGGAAGCTGAGTTGATATTTTATAGTATATTACTATATTTTATGGTGGCAATCTGCTAATATGAACCTCAATAAATAAAGATTCTAATCCAGTCTTTATTTTAGAATGTGACTGGCTTCCTATTTTAAAATAGGAACAATAAAAGTCTAGTATGTCAATAGGTGGGAAATTAAGTAAGCTGGAAACTAGCTTTCAAGTGCTTTGCAAAACTGGATCTCATAGGTAAATGTTTCAGACAGTTGTCTCCGTTAACTTTTCTAGGAGATTCTCAATGTGCATTGTAATATTAAAGGCTCTAAGAGGTTATGCGTTGTTTTCTTTTTTTAAAAAAAATTTTGATATTTTAATTTAAACTTCCCCAAATTTGTTTCGGTGCATAAATGTGTTTTAATGCAAATTTGTCTTAGCACTCACTGAAATAGTCTATAATAAATCATATTTTGAGAAATGCTAGAGTAGTTGTTACCAGCAAGTTTGAGGGCTCTGCTCTACTCTGGCATCCACTAGATACTAGGAAACCAATGTTCATGTAATTCAGCGTCCTTTCTCAGAGATTTGTCATTGAGTGAAGCCAGTAGAATTCTTAGAACTTTTTCTGTTTTACTCTGCAGAATTCATTACTGTCGTGGCTGATGTAAGTTTCCCTGATAGGTTCAGTGATTAGTGGGTGAGAGATTCCTCAGCATGTCTGTGTGAAAATTTGAATCAAGAGAACAATTTTATATCAATTCATGATTGAATTAATCCATAAATCATACTATTTTGTGCGGCTTTAAGACTAAAAGATTTCTCCTTTCCCAGGTTGGGAACTGGGTACTCCTGAGCATAGGTAATCTTCCTGCCTCAGTCTTCTGAGTAGCTTGGATTACAGACCTGGACCCAAGTACTTGGGTTAAAGGATTCTTTCAAAGCAAAACAAAATCTTTTAGAAAAGGACTTGGTTGTGTCTTCCAAAGTATTCATTTTGAAGGAGTCGGGGTACCGCTGGTAGGGCCAGCTCTGCGCATCTCTGTGGTTCTCCACAGCTGGGCAATAAACTCTGCTGGGCCCCTGGTGGTTGTAACGGCGTCACCTCACTGCAGAGCAGCCCCAAGTCGCCTTCCCTCTTTCTTCCTGTGTGAGAAGAAAATCTTAGTTTGACTGAGAGACCACCCAGGGCCATTACCTCCTGCAGCCTCTTTTTCCTTCACTCGTAAAGATCTCCTTTACCCGTTGCTGACCCTTCCTTCCAACTGACTGTTTACCTGCTTGCAGGATAGCTTATCTTGTGATCCCAGGGTGCCGTGTGCACTAACACATCCTTTTAGGATCCTGTGGCTTGATAAACATGTGTTTCCCATTGCCACCTCTCTGTGGAGAAAATGTAGGTGCTGTCTTCATTCTGTGGAGGTGTGTGGCACTTGTGATCTGTGTTTTATAAAGGACTCCTGGGCAAGGAGACAGAAACTGATGTGGATAATCAGAAAAGGCATAGTGGATGCTGTAGGAGTCCCTGTACAAAATGGATCTGTTCTACCTTCCTGTCTTTATTATCCTGTGTGAAGGTGCTAAAGAGGAGACCAGTCGTGCTGCTCAGAGATCAGGCACTGGTAGTGCAGTGCCGTAGGATCAACCCAGGCTAAGTGGAAGGACAATAGACTCACAGGCCCTGGCTCACTTTAATTTACTTTACACCAAATGCAACATCTATACTCTCCCCTGGAAATGGTTATAATTGAAAATGGGGAGTGCTGGCCTCTGTCATTCACTATTCATGTTTAAACAAGTGGGTAAACATGGGTCTAGTCACAAAAACATGAGTGTTTAGCGCCAAGTCTCAACCACAGAGAAAATAATAAGAAAGGTATCACGGTTGATGCCTTGTGTCAAGGTGAGAAGTTCAGAAGTTTAAGTGACTGATCAGAGAGCCAGGATCCTTGCTGTGTAAACATCCTGAGTCTGTGCAAGAGGAGGGAGGCAGGGAGATGGTGTGAGCACTGCACCCACCATAGGGGTAGGAGCACGCTTACCATGTAAGGGAGCAAAGAGGCCTGCTGTCCCCCTTTTGCCCTGCTGCTTTTGCTGTCTTCTTCCTCCTTGAACTGTTGCTGCTGTGCCCCGCCACTCTGCCTTGGAGCCAGCTCATTATGGACTGAAGCCCCCACAGAATTTGAGCTAAATAAACCTTTCCCTCTCTTTGGGTGTCAGGTATTTTGTCTCAGCAATGGGAGAAAATTAACCAAGATGACTGGTCTCCCCAGCTCTTCCCACCTGCAGTAGAAGTGCTTTGGACCATGCAGATTCATTCTTCAGGATCAATAAGATTTATAATTGAAATCCCAGTAGGAAGTGTAATTTATTCATATGTCTTAGGGGGAGCCCTTATGATTTGCATCATTACCAATTAATGAAGCTGCATGATACCTAATTCAACAAATTGAAGCACTACTTTTCTGGGATTCATTTAGAATCAGACTGGTCATAGGATTTACTCTTCAATGTGCTAAGAGAAGTGATAACATTAACGATAATTAATATCTATAGTTTCTCCAGGATGTGATGAACTCTAATATTTCAATGCTTTCTTTCTTTCTTTCTTTCTTTCTTTCTTTCTTTCTTTCTTTCTTTCTTTCTTTCTTTCTTTGTATTTAGCACGGGGTCTACAGGATCTACAGGGTCTTACTATGCAGATCCTACTTGTAGTGATACTCCTGTTTGCAGTATCCCAGCTTCCCAAGTGCTGGGATTACAGGTGTGCGCCACCACACAGTCTCAATCACCATTTTAGGACTCCCCTGGGGCAGGACTGGCACAGTATGCCAGGGATTGAACCCCGGCCACTGCTCTCTGCCTAAACAGGTACTTTAATCCACTGAGCTATCAGGCCAGCCCTCAACACTTCATTTTAGTAGTGTGTAAATTAAAGCAACCCCATTCATCATATTTCCTATACTGTATGGTTGTTTTCCACTTACATAGTAAAAGTCTGGTTGATTAGAATTGTCCTATCGAATGTGGTAGCCACTGTTGCTCTTTCAAGTAAAAAGAAGTACAATTATGTAAGACTTAAAACTTGGTTCTGTTATATGAGCGTAATTCAACTGCGCATGATGCACACCTGACTGGTGTCTATCATTTTGGGTCACAAATGAAATATTTCTACCTCTAGAGAAAGTTCTATTGAAGAATGTTTTACTGAATTTTTAAAAAAAATTTTACAATGCCAGATGTGGTGGCCTGTAATCTAGAGCCTGAGAGGCTGAGGCAGGAGGATCACTATAAGTTTGAGGACAGCCGGGGCTACAGAATGAGTTCAACACCAGCTTGAACTACAGAGTAAGACTCTGTCTCAAAAAAGAAAAAAACAGGTAATAAAAACATTTACAAGGACAAAAAGTTTCATCATCTTTCAGTATCACCCCATCCCACATATTTTTATTATTATTACTTTTTTCTCAGTACAGGGGATCAAACTCATAACCTTGGACTTACTGGGCAGGTGTTTAGGCAGCAGAGCTATCTCCCTGGTCCCATCTCATATATTTTTAAATGCTTGGCATTTGTAAACTAAGAGCAGTCATGTTTGTTTTCTTTCAGACATTGCCTTGGGACCTATGGACGGTAAGACATCAAAGAACTTGTTCTTTTCATGTACCTTGATCTATGACAGTTTCGAAACCATATTGTATTTTATGCATGTGTTGGGGAAAGAAGACTTACACCTTCAATGATAATGATTTCTCGCAAACAACCATTAGCCCCTGAAAATTCTGTGCATACCTAGAATCTAGAGATCATTGTAGAGAATAGTGCACCAGTGGCCTGAACTGGTGGCTGACTAGAGACCAAGAAGGTGGCACTGTGCGCTTTTTTGGTTCTTTCTAGGAGGTTGGTACCAACCCCGGGCACCTGGTGTGATAAGGCTGTACTTATATGTGATTGATAGAAATCATTATTTCACCATTATGTTCAGTGAAGCTAGTTTATCAATAATTTGAGCTTCAGAGCTAGAAAGCCTGAGTCCAAACACTGAAATTTACAATCTTGTAACTCAGAGCAATTTGTAAAACTCACTAAGCCTCAGTTTTCATCATTTGTAGTATAAGGACAACGATGCCTTCCTTGAGAAGACCGGTGAGAGGGTTGAGCAAGATAGTATCTGCAAAGCATTTAGCCCAAAGTGGATATGTTTCAAAACATAGACATTATTGCTGGCGTTGCCTGTCTAACTAAGCTGGAGTGCAAGCGTCAGTTATTTCTGGAATGGAGTTAAGAAAGACCTTTGTGGTGACTGCATCCATCAGTACTGTAAAATTAAAAGATCAGAGGCAAGGATTCAAGCCTGATGTCTCTCGGGGTAGGAACTTGGTCCTAGAAAAACTCTGGCCATGTGGCCATCAGAGCCCAAGTTGAATTTCATGTTTCCTTCTTTTTGCTTGAGACAGAGAAAAAAAAAGTCTGGTCTTCTGAAATGATGCTGTTGCTTTTTTCTTCTTCAAATGGAAAAGGTCCCCATCTGTAGTGCTAGGTGTGTACTGAATAATTTAGGATTCTTGAAACCTCAGAAAACTCTTCAGAGAAGAGGTAAACATGTTGAAATCCCTTTTATAATGAGTTATTTGGCTTTACCCTACAGATTCATAGCAAGGGTTTGATGGATTAACATTCAGTCGTTTGAATTCTAGCCTCACATCTGTTGATTTTTCTCAGAGATTAAACAGACAGTGCTAATTCTTTTTATCATTCCAATATTTCTCATCTTTCGTTAGAGCTCTAGCACATTTTTTCCCTGGGTGCAGAGGGCATGGTGTGAATGAAGGTCTCATTTAGAAGGAGCTTTTGATATTTCAGAGGACAAACTTGCTAGGAAATACAACCATAACAAGAATGTGTCATAAAAAGAAATAAAATAAAAATAAAAAAAGAATGTGTCATAATGACTTTGTGGACATATTGCCCACAGTGCTTAATAGCTCAGCTTCCTGGATTTTTCCCCTTGTGTGTAGAAATTGGCTTGTAGGTTGAGGGAAGAGTATCAAGGGAGATCTCAGGGCAATTAGTGTGGTTAACATCAGCTCATCCTCCATCTGAACCCTAACACAAGGCAGAACCCAGGGAAGGATGAGTTTGGGGCAGATTTTGTTCAGATTCACCATCAGAGCTTGTGATTTAGTGTGTAATTTCTTGATCTATAGTGCTGGCTGTAGCGCTCACAGACTGACTTATATATTTGGAGCGTGGAATTTCAGAGTCTACTAATGCACGTGCTGTATGCTAGCCTAAGAATATAATTGACAGAGGCTTTCTTTGTGTTAAATTCTGCCTTTTTAGAGTAGTCATAAGCACTGTCAGAATGAAAATTACCCCTATCACAAAGTGAGCTGTAAAATTTAACCCTAAACCAATAAAAGTACAACCATTAACAGAATGTTGTCTCTGAACAGCATGCAATTTTAATGTCCCAGTGAATCTTTCTCCTTTGCCTTAGTAATTCTTCTTCTTCTTCTTCTTCTTCTTCTTCTTCTTCTTCTTCTTCTTCTTCTTCTTCTTCTTTTAAATTACACAGACAAGCACTGATTTGGTACAACCGGTAGGTAAATATCCAGAAAATTCTGGATTTCAAAAACATTTGCTATGCATTTTTTTTGAGAATGAACTTTTTCCTTATTGCATTGCTAGTCATGTACTTAATCTTAAGCTAATTAATTTAAGGACTTTTTAATTTGGCTTAACTTGTGCTACCCTACTGAAAAGCTTTGTGTTTCTCATCTGATCTTACCATGCTCTATTTCATCTTATCTTTTTTTTTCCTTTGCTTTTCTGCATACTTTAAAGACTGACTCTTCAAAAAGTCTTTCCCTGTGTAACCTGATAATGGAGGAAACTCCAGACAGTGGGTTGGCTGAAGAAATGCAAAGATCTCAAATTGGCATAGGTGCATTTCCTTGGGGGCCGGATGCTAGTACAGACAGTGTCAGCCAGGAAATCACCACAAGTGGGTCTCGAGAAGACCTTGCGTGTCTCTCTGAAGCAGAGCAAGACATGAGATTGCCCACTGGAGAGCTTCTTTCTGCTGATGGGTCCACTGTAGCTGACCAGAGTGAGCACGTCCCGGGGCCTGCTCCCCCAGGTGACAATGAAGAGTTATTCCTGCAGCCCATGCCTGGGGCTGGAGCTGCTATTGCTACTTGCATGGACGTGGAACAGCCGCATGAATTCCTTGACTCAGAAATGCCAGCCATGGAAACAGCTGGCCTGCTCCAGGAAAGTCATGAAGATGTTAAAAAGTCAGATGAAGAACAAGAGAACCAGAAGACAGAAGGTTCTATATGGGCAGGTGTGGAGATCTGTCAAAAGGTAGACATTGGAGCTATTGATATCAAGACAGTAGAAGGTATTAAGGAATCTGAACAGAAAATATATGAAAGCCCAGGAAACAGCACAGTAGACCTCAAAGTTATAGCAGAACAAGACCAGGAAGCCTTCAAAGTTAGTGAAAGGGAAACTGGGAAAGATCTGAGAGTGCTGTGTCTACAAAGCATAGAACCTGTTGAAAATTATATTGAGAAAGCTGACTTATCAGAAAAACACTTGGCAGGGAAATTTGGTGGCAGAGACCAAGGGCTACATGATGAGAGTCAAGTAATAATCAATAATTATGAACATATAGAAGCCTCAGGAACTACACCTGCCAATCATACAGGTATCTTGAATCTGCCTCTTCAGGCTGACTTTGCATCTAACATCGAAGATGCCAGTCCTGAGGGATGGGATTTAGCTAAAAAAGACATAAAGAAAAATTTAACAGATACTCCCATGCATGTTATCATGTATCACCCAGCACAAAGCAGTGTGGATGCTGCAGAAATTCTTGATGAGAGTGTGTTAAATGCTTACAGTGCTGAGAGGGACAAAAGTCAGGCTGTTGTTTTAGCAGCAAAATATGAAGTGGCAGTGCAATCTAAGACTGACCCCAGTTATTCTCTGGAAACAAATGCAAACAAAAGAGATACTTGTTCCTACAAGAGAGATGTCTTAATAGAGAGAACTAAAGGTACAATAACTGGAAACTGTAGTCATGATGTTAACTTGCCAGGAATTGCAGAGGTAGAAGTTTGGGGAACAGATCCAGGTCAAATCTGCCAACCAACTTTGAATGCAACAATGAATAATATGAACATGTCAGGGTTCTCTGGTATACCAGATGGCCAAGTAAGTGGATTTGCCAATTGGCTGGATTCTGAATACCACTGGCCCATCAGAGATACTGGAGACTTAGATAATTGCTGGGAACATTCAGATATAGTTAAGAGCAAGGAAGGGCTGGAGGTAGCTTTAGTAGCAGGTGTATGCGGGGAACAAACCATTGCTAGCCACCTGGAACAAAGCCAGGAGATAGTTAGACCATGGGTTCTTGGAACACCCCAGAACACTAGCGCTGAAGGTTCTGAGCGTTCCCAGGACAGTGACATCAACAACTCAGACTTATCTGAAGATGAAATTGCTAACCAGAGATATGGAATGTTGTACCAAGAAATAGAGGCTCACAAAGACGAGGTACTTACCCCAGTTTGTAGCATAGACTAGTCAGACTTCTGTAGGTTCTACTTTTCCTAATGTCTATCACCCACTTCATTAATCCATCACATTCTTCTCGGAAGCCTGATTATTTCCTAGGCAGATTGTCATGTACTTCTTGAAATCTGTGCAAACAAGACACAAATAGGTTGACAAAAAAATAAATTCAGAAATCAGAACAATTGTATTAGGAATTAGTGAAATCTTAATTAGATCTATCTTACCATCCCAAATTCTGAGTTGGTTTTTCTTTCTTTTATTTTTACTATTTGGGCACTAAAAATGAACAAGACCATGAGAAAAATGGGCGTGTTTACTGTTCCCAAAGTGTTAGATCTACTTCAGTAAGAACACACGAAGTGTTTCTACATAAGGCCATTGAAACTGTAGCATCCCATAGGTGTTGTTCATCTAAATGATAGGTTACAGACTGATGGAAAAGCATTTTTCAGCTTTTACATGTGTTCTAAAAAGAGCTGTTTCACCCATCCTGGCTCTTTTCTGGAATCGTCTTGTTATGAGAAAGTAGGCATTACCACTGAGTCACATACCATCAATAATGTAATTTTTGTTTTTAAACGTATTTGGTACAGGGTCTCACTGCGCAGCTCAGACTTGTAATGATCTTCCTGTTTTCAGTCTCCCCAGCGCTGGGATTACAGGCATGTGCCCCCATGCCTGGACTCATTTGCCGGCTCAGCGCACCCTGGGGGCAGGGCCAACATGGCCTGTGGTGCTGGGGATCAAACCCCATCCCTGTACTTGCCTTAGAAGGTGCTTAGTCTGCTGAGCTATCTAGCTGGCCCTAACAATGTAAAATTAATCTTTCATTTTTTTTGTCAGCCTATTTAAGGTAACACAGCATGGCATTTCATATTCCTGAGCACTCCCTCATATGATCACCTTTGTATTACTCTAAGATGTGTGATAGTTGTTACTTTCCACTGTGTCTAATAGATATTTATTAATCCTAGAAAAGTGATGGAAAAAAATAACACACTTGATCTCCAATTTCGTTTAGGCTTCTGGTGGTTCATTCAATGGATTCACCCAGGTAAGACCTATTCTGATGAGAATACTGTCTCTGTCTCTTTGTCTCTCTGTCCTTCCATCCTTCTGTCCATCTATCCATCTGTTCATCCGTCCATCTGTCTGTCTGTCTGTCTTTCCATCTCTCTCTCTCTTTCTCTCTCTCTCTGTCCCTCCCTCCCTCCCTTTACCTGGAACTCTATAGATTTTTCCTTTAAGCTCTGTGTTTCTCCAATTTTACTGCAATGAGGTATGATCTGAATCTGTTTTCATCCATTGTACTAGGACATTTTAATCTAATAAATTGCATCTTTGGAGGGAAATTTAAAATTATTACTATTTCCCTAATGATTTCTTTCATTAGTTTTCCTTGTTCACTCATTGGGTAGTGCTTCTTCTTTTCATATATTGGCATCCTGTGTCTAATTACTCTTTTCGGGGTTTGCTTGTTTGTTGTTGTTGGATATTCTTTTTTCTACCATTTTTCTCCACTGTTTCTGCTCTCTGACTCTTCCCACTGATTATGCACCTCTACTTGTTTCAATTCTACATTCAGCTTCTGAATTATTTTTATCAGCATCCACTTTGTGGGTCATGAATACAATGCTTTCGTCATATTGTTGCAGATGGTAGTAATCATTTTTTTCATATAAATTATTTCACTTGTTCTTTTCCTACCTGTTTCTTTCATTCGTATCTGAGACTGCTCTCAAATTTCCAATAATCTTGGCTGAACATTACATTTAAAAGTGTGATGCCAAAAAGCTGACTGGAAACTTGCATAGATGAGGGCTCACTCAATCCTCCTTCCTTAAGATGCCTGCAGTCCAGAGTCCCACTGGCACAGCCCTGCTAGAATTAATTTCAAGTCTTCTGCTGGGTAGGAAGGGAATATTCTTTGCTTTTCAGAGTAGGTGAGAGTTTCCCAAGGTCTTACTATTTTTAAATAGACTTTCAACTAGTACTCCTGTCTTTAGCAACCCCCTGCCTCCTATTTCTTATGATTTGCTATGCTTCTAATTCATGACCCATTGAGAATCCTGAGCTATACATTGGGCTGATTCTTGGCACTTCTGTCATCACTTTGGGTAAAGATTTTTGGATTTAGCATGTTACTTAATGCTATTTTTAAATCTACTTTCCAGTTTCCAGTTTTTTACTGTAATCTTTCTTCTTATTCATTTCATCCTTACAGGTTATATCTCTAAGGGGTTCTTTATTATCTTGTAGTTTGGTTTCTGGATATAACAGAGGTAACTGCACATTGTTTTGTCCACCATGTTTAGCCAAAGATTTCTGGCTTATCTTTTCTGTTGAGGAGCCCCACGTGTCCAATTCTTTAGGTATTGTTTTATTTTCTTTCTTTTTCAAAACCAGGGATCAAACTCAGGACCTTGCGCTTGCCAGGCAAGCACTTATTCCACTGAGCTATCTCCCTATCCATCCTTCTTTTGTTTTGTTTTGAGCTGATGAAATTTTTGGAGAAAGATTTTTCAGTCTTCCATCTGGAAGATACAGAGGGCTACTGGTATAATGAGACATAAATCTTCTCTTGCAAATCACTTTTCCTTTAAGCTTTTCTCCAGCTGAACTTCTAAATTCCATAAAAATGTTTTTAAAACAATTTAACTTATAGCTCATAAATAACCCATGTGATTCCCAGCATTTAAAAAAACTTAAAGTTTAAATTTAGGTTCTAGAGCAACTAACTTCTAACTTGGTATCAATATCTTGAAGAGGAGCCATGGCCCAAAGGTATCTTTAATGCCAATGTTTGCTTGTTTTTATAAGCACTCTCAGTATCTTCTGCTGGCAAAGATTTGCATCTAGAATAACTCCCACTAATATGTTTGTTTCACTGATTTAAAAAGGGACCTAAAATGTTTTAAGTATATTTTAAAAATATCTGTGGCTTTTCTCCCCATTTTCAGCCCCAGGACACTTCATTATTCACAATGCAGGCAGATCAGAGTGTGATCTGCAACTTGGTAAGTTGGAGTTGGTTGGTGTTTCTGGGAAGTCACTAGTTTTCACTGAATATTCAAATTAAGTTGGTCATTCTGTTTTGTCCAGAGTTTGAATATCTAGAATACAGTTTCTACAACAGCTTTCTCTTCTATAAAAACAAGAAAGAATGCACCCATGAAAACTCAGTGTGATGTTGAATTTAGTTACTTCTCTTTATAAAGGTATAATCTTATCCAAAACCAAAGTCTCTTAGCTAGGGGGTCTCAGGAGAACAGAGTAAATCTATCAAGGACATGATTTTTTTTTAGACACTTGTGTGGCCCAGGCTGGCCTCAAACTTTTGACCGTCTTTCTACCCCAGCCTCTTGAGTACTAGGATTAAGCTGTGCACCAGCACACCTGGCTCAAGGATATGAATCTTTCCATGTCTATAATTTAAGCCACTTAAATTATAGACATAGGATTGAATGTCTATAATTTAAGCCATAGGATTGAAATCAATTTACCTCAACAATTTGTGCTTCAGAACAGATCCTTACTCTTTTCTGGAGCTTGAAACGATCTTATTTCTTATTCATAGCTTGATTTTGTGAGTTGTAGAAAGGAGTGCATGATAGAGTTGTGATTCCTAACAAGGTCACAAAAGAAAATCTTAGGGGATGAGGAGATAGAAGAAGATTTGTACTCACTTCTCCTAGGTTCCATGTCATAGTCACCAGGGGAAATCCTTGCACCAACAGCTTATTCATAAAGCTGAATGACAAGACTTCAGTGTAGTCACCTGTGGGCCTGGCAGTACAGTACTACGAGCACTTGACCTTTTGGGTTAGTTCGTGTGTGTTATCTTCTGTACAATGGTTTCCATGGAAAGAGTGTATGTATAATTAGTTCAGCTCCTGCTTTTCACGTTGGGAGATTGTAATTTGGTTTGGTAAAGTGAAATTTTCTTTTGTGACTACTTCAATTTTAAGTCAGGAATTCTGTTGTAGGAAGTTATTCTTTCAGGTTAATTTGATAGCTTTGAAAGGACAATATGTCTCTAAGCTCTTGACAATAGATTGTTGTACTTCATCACCTTTTGCAAAGCAAGAGTGAAAGAGAATCGATGTGGCTTGCAAATGCATTGCATATAAATTATAGCAGCCAGAGAGCCTTATTCTTTATTTTCATTGGTTAGTCTCAGACTGGATGATGGAACTGGAGGATGGGAATTTATCAATTGTGAAAGGATTAAGAAAAGTGGAGAAATACTGGTCTGAAAGGAAAGGCAACCGGTCGTCATCTGACTTGTACCTACTACTTTGATACCTACTACTTTCAAGGAGAAGATCCAGACACAGAATCCTGGGCTTTATAAGTGTTTTTGAACCTCTTCCTGTCCACCATAGCTAATCACGAGAACTTCCCTGCCTGCCCTCCCTTTCTCTCCATTCCTATCCTGTGAAGCAGATATTCTGCTTCTTCTCTTCTCTGGGGAGCTTAGCTTGTTGTGTTGTGCACTGTAAATGTTGCCAACCCTTCTCATGCTGTGCAAGACTAGGAAATCACAATGAATCTACTCAATGGGTTCTGATTGTACCTACTGAGAATCTTCCCAGGAGCAGGAAACTCCCAAGCATTTGGTTCATTGATTATTTTACGCAAAGCAGGAGTCAAAGCTGCTAGTCAGCTGTCCATCTGCCAGCCTGTATCTGATGGCCCCACAGAGCAAGCTGGAATCCCTCTGAATTGTAGACTTGGCTGGATGCTCAGAGTTGCTCCCAGGGCCCTTTGCAGTTCTCACTAAACCAACTCCCAGGATGACAGAGATAGGACAAGAAGGCAAGTGCCATATTGGATTACGATTAGACTCTTAATTTTATGAAGAACATGTTACTAATTCAGAATAGTGAGGTTTGTTTTGGGAAATTAGTACATTCATTAAACACATTTGGATCATTTTCTTTTTCTCTTTCTTTCTTTCTTTCTTTCTTTCTTTCTTTCTTTCTTTCTTTCTTTCTTTCTTTCTTTCTTTTTTTTTTTGGCAGAAACATGGATTGAACTCTATCCCTTGCACTTGCCAGGGAAGCAGTTATTCTACAGAGACATCTCTCTGGCCTCTGGATCATTTTCAATCCTATTTTCCTCTTAATTTCTTTCCCTTCTTATTCCTTACCTCCTTTTTCAGAAGTTTGCTATTTGCTTGCTTTCTTTTTTCTTTCTTCTTTCTTTCTTTCTTCACATTCTTTTACATAATTTTTTTGGGGGGTGGAACCGGAGATTGAACTCAGGCCCTTGCACTTGCCAG